ATTACAAATTACAATAATAGAATTTAATTTGAAGCTGAATGATCGTCTTGAATATTAAAAGTTAATCTATTAAATTCATCGATCCATTCTTGGCTTGCTGGTGAAATTGAATCGTGTAAGCGTTGGTCGGAACAATCCCAATCCTTAATGCAGGCCAAAGCTTCAACAATGTCCTGTTGTAATGTGTTTCTACATTCTTCAAGTATTCGGTCGATCGTACTGAAGGCTTGTTCGGCTGAAACAGTGGAGATTGGGATCAAAAAAATATCCATTACCAGTTGAGTTAGGATCGACCAAGTTAATGCTCGTGCCCTCCACCACTGAACCAAATCAAACATTTCATTATTGTCGACTACTAAGCCCTCATTGAGGTATGCCATTAACTCGTTGAAGCCGCCGCTGTTGCCGCCACCTCTTGATGAAGATCCACTCCCAGATTCTTCTTGACCTTCAATTGTCATCGTCGTCGTCTTCTTCTTCTTCTTCAACCCGAAAAGATTCAAGAATGAATGCGAATTGTCGTCTCGTTGTTGCGGTTATTCTACACGAGTTGTGTTTCTAAACCTACTTTCATAAGAGCTATAGAGAGATAATCTTTTTTCTTTTATAATAGGAAATTGGTCAGTACAGTCGATATCTAAAAAGTCACCTAAGTTTTCTAATCCACTTTCTAAACCATCTAATTTTAATCTAGGATAAAAAAATAACACCGAAACCATACAACATTGGTAATTTAGACCAATATTTTTTAAACTTTTTTTCCATAGAAGCGATAGGAACTCCTAAACCTCGTGTGTCCTAAATTCACTAAATAAAATAGCCATTCTTAAAAGTTCTCCTAATGCTAATGGTGACGTTGGGTAATATGTTTCACTAATATTTAAAGTTACTGAGTGAAATATACTTAAAAGTTTTATAAAAGTTCGGCAATTTGTCAATCAGTTTGGTCTATAAATCCTGGTCCTAATTTTGTACTAACATAGTTTGTTATAGCATCTTTATAGGGGATGCATTGTTCAAGCATTATATAAGTGGAGTTCCATCTTACGGGCATATCTAAGGCTAATGCTCTAGGATTTTGATTACATGCTTGTAGAAACCTAAACCAATCTTGTATTCTTTTATTACTACCTTGAATCCATGAAATGTTATCTCTAATTCTTTTAATATGACCTGACATTGATTTTAAACCGGATTTTACTATTAAATTAATTATATGGCATGCACAACATTGGTGAAATATATCATTATTACCGAATAAACTTAAATCATTTTCAAAAAGTTATATTACTTTAGTATTTACAGTAGCATTATCTAATGTTATAGCCATTACTCTATCCCTTAAACTATATTCATCAATGACAGATAAAATTGTATTATATATTAACTTGGTGGTATGTGATCCTATAACACATTTAAAACCTCATATTCTCTTATCTAAATCAAAACCTTTAAAATAATGTCCAGTTATAGCTAAATAATCTTTATTGGCAACGGTGGACTAAATATCCGCCGCTAATGCAACGCAACCACTAGGAGAGTGTAAAAAGTTGATTAATGCTTCCCTTTCTTGTTTATATAATTTTAATGCATCTTTCCTAAGAGTAGTTCTTGAAAAAAATTGTGCATTAGGATTATGTACAATTTTAATATAATGCTGACAATTCCTTTGTTCGGTAAAACTAAGTGGTTGATCTAATATGGCTACTAATCGTACCATTTCCATACGATTGACTTGCGGATCATATTTCCAAGTGGTTAGACCGCTGGTTTGGCAATCAAATGATAATTGTGTTTGGCGGAGATCGGGTCCGCCTCCTTGCTTTTGAAGACACTTTTTAGAGTGTCTTCTCAAGTGTGTAGTGCCATGAATAGTGTTATCTTGTAATTTATCACCACAATATTTGCATTTAGCTATGTATTTAACGTTACCGTTATTGTCGACCTCCTCAAATGTGTTGAAGTGCTCCCAAACTGTTGAGGTGCGCTTGCATTTCTTCTTAGAACTTGCAACACTTGCACTAACACTTCCGCTTGCCTCTCCTCCATGTCCACCACCATTATATCCACGACCTCTAGTACGTCCACCAAGGCTCGGATTTACAGTTTCCTCAGCAGCTCTTTCTGCAGTTTGCGATTTCTGCATTTGAAAAACATTAATAGCAAATTGTCTTTCTTCGATGTTTAATTGGGCATCAACAGGAATATCACCACCATAACCAGAAGAATCCATTATGAAAAATAAGAGAGATTGAGAGAGCTTTGAGAGAGATTAAGAGAGATCGATAGTGATTTGAGCGAGATTAAGAGAGATTTGAGAGAGATTAAGAGAGATTGAGAGAAATTAAGAGAGGATGAGAGTTTTTGGGTGAGAAAAATGGTTGGCAGAAGGGGGGGTATTTATAGGAAATTTTTTGGCTTGAAAAAAGATTTTTTCCCTCAAATTTTCAGTTCCAACGGTAACAAGCATTCGGGTTGGGTCGGGTCAGGTCGGGTAGATCGGGAAACGGTAAAAAAAATATCCGCTGGGGTCAGGTTGCATTCAAAATTCGGGCTAATGGTCACATAAAATTCGGGTCGGGTCGGGTAAAAATTCAAAAAACTAGCCGTTTTTTTTTTTTTTGTTTTCGGGCTTCGAGTTACGCGGGAAAATTGAAAAAAAATTCCGGCGGACAGCGGTCACAGCTTCTCCACCAGCGCCGGCCTGTCGGGGTTGGTTTTTCCTCAGGCTGCCCGACCCCGAGCCCAGCAAAAATCGACAGACGGGCGGCGAATGGTGCCTGCCCACCGAGCCTGAAAATTTTCAGACTTCGGGCAAGCCCACCGCCCGAACTTACAGCACTAATCACATCTATGTATGGCACTTTTGTCGCAATAGTTGTTGCAACAAATCCGGTAACATTTAGGTTACATTTTGGTTCTTGTTTGAATTTTGAGGGAAAATAAGAAAAATGAAAAATATTGTAGATTTTTTTTTTTTTTTTTTTTTTTTTTTTTTTTTTTTTTTTTTTTGCGTTTAGCTCTCATGACTCCTAATTTGAGTTGAATTTTATACTCCTAAGATGAAACACCCAATCTCAAATTAAAAAAAAAAAAATTTAAAAAGACGAAGAAGAAGAAAGATTCTTAATTTTTTTCAGAAAAATAAAAGCTAAAAATTAGATTGCTGACAAAGAGGACTCAGAGTTGTAACAACGTCAATCGAAATATTAATGTTGATGTTGGTCGTTATTAAAAATTGAAATATTAAAAAGATCTAAAGATAAGCTAAACTTCTTCGGCCAAAAAATATAAGTTAATAGAAAGAAAACAAAAGAAAAAAGAACGAAAAAAGAAGAAACAATACTCTTCTCTCAAAACAAAATATCCAACAAACTATTCAGAGAATTCCAAAAATAAAAATGATGTCTCAGGACATCAATACTCATTTTTATTTTATAATAGTATATTATATAATATATATATATACAATATTATAAAAATTTAAAAAATATTTTTTTTTCGGACCACTCGGGCGGGCTCGGGCAGCCAAACACAGGCCCGCGGCCCATATGGGCCTTCTTATGGGCGGGCGGCCCAAAAAAATCGCGCCAGGCGGGTTCGGGCTCAGGCAAAAAATTGAATTTTTAAGGCGGTTGTGGATGGCCCATCCAAAGTTCTAACACTGGATCTTATAGATCTTTCACAAACAAACATGTAACTTTGTAGATGCAATATTTTCAGATGCATCTAAGGGACTAGGATTTTCCTAGCTTTTCTTTTTTTTTTTTTTTGCTTAAGGAGGGATGGATAAAGCTTCTATTATTTCATCACTAAGTACACCAAAAATTAATTTCAAATGAGGTCACCCCCCAAAATTCAGTGCAAAGGGAGTTTAGAGAAACGGAAGATAAGTTTTTTTTATTATTATCATTATTTTTTTTTTAATGAAGTGAGATAAGCTCAATCTAGAGCTATAGAAAAATGCAAAATATCAAAGTGTAGGAGAAAACACACATCAATATCTTCTATTGTAACCTCTTCTATTGTAATTTCTCCTAAAAATAAATAGAAAAATGAGAGTGATGTAGTCACATGGTCTTTTTAGTTGAATTTCTATTAAAAACAAACAAGATAAATCTTTAAAAAAAAATAAATAAGATAAAAACCACATGTCCACATTTAACCACCGTTTTTGCAATATGATTTTAATATAAATTCTTATAAAACGGCTTCTTAAATAAGACAAAGATAAAGTGAAAATGACCTCAAAATTCAGGGCCACTAATGAGATTAATCCAAAAAAAGAAGAAAAAATATAATGTCCTTATGTCATATGAGAAGTGGGAAATATAATTCACCAACCATATGTCATAATCTCAAACAAAAGCATTTGTTTCCAAATTTATTATTCAACAAATTATGTGTAATCACAATTATATGGTAGGGTTGCATAGCAACCCTATACTATTAGATATACCGTAACAAAAAAAAAAAAAAAAAAATATTTAATTTTTAAATATTTTTTTTTTTTTAATGCTCGGTAAAGAGAGTAATTTGAATTCTGCAGCTGAAAATGTGTAGTCAAGACTCAAATGTGGGTTTACACCCTATGGTTACAATTATAAAATATGGATTTTTTTTTTTTTAAAGGCTTAATGTCTAAGAGCTTGTGCGCCATCGCATTTTTTCTAGACCTACTAATGCTACAAAAGTTTCCTATACAAAAATATTTTCTTTTCCCATTCTGGCCACGACTGAAAACAAGTGTTCCCTTAAAATATATATATATATATATATATACATATAGCTATATACCTATTTTCTTTTTCTTTTATCTTTACGTCTTGGCAGCAAATAATACATCATTACTTTTAATCATGATGATGATCATGATCACCACCATCATCACCATCCAAATTAACCCTCGAAGCTTTCTCTTATACTTATCTGCACATAAACACATTGAGTTTACAAACAAAAAATTAAAAAGAAGACAAAGATCAAAGAGAGATCAGATCATGATCAGGAACCCATCTTCATTTGGACATAATTCTTTCAGCAGCAGCAAGCAGAAAAGCAAAACGCCATGTGGCAGGAAAGTAAGCATAAAGAAAGGTCCATGGACTCCGGAAGAAGATGAGGTTTTAGCAACCTACATCAAAAGACATGGAGAAGGGCACTGGCGAACCCTCCCGGAGCACGCCGGTTTGCTCCGCTGCGGGAAGAGCTGCCGCCTCCGCTGGGTGAACTATCTCCACCCCTCCATCAAGCGCGGCCCCATCGCGCCTGATGAGGAGGATCTTATCCTCCGCCTTCATCGCCTCCTTGGAAATAGGTATATATAATACATACTCTACACATACGTATTTTCTTTTTTCTAGACAGTTTTCATGAAAACCCTAATATTAATTGATAGATCTTGTTGAATCTAAGGTGGTCTTTGATAGCTGGGAGAATTCCAGGGCGTACGGATAACGAGATCAAGAATTACTGGAATAGATCATAAACCTAATTCTAACCCTAGTTGCTCAAAAGTAATCCATAACTGTTCTGCCACTTTAACAGTATTTCCTAATATTAATCCAAACCCTAACCCTAATTACTCCCAATTAACTACTCCAGCGGATGAAAATATTTGAGCTAATTTGTCAGCTGAAGGTTTGATCATGGAGAAATCTGATCATGATCATCAGAGAAAGGAGGAGGATCATAACGAGGATGCGACATTCTCATCGTTTTTCGATTCTATAATCGACTGCGACAATAATTATGAGTTTGTTAATTACCAAGGTCAAGTAGAGCAATCTAATCATCATTGGGAAGCTGATGAACTCGCATATGCAATGGAAACCTTAGATGGAGCTGAAGAAAACATGGCGGTAATCTTTGATAATCACTCCTTAATATGATATTCTTAAAATGAAAACCTTATATGGTGTGTTTTTATTTATGCATTATACTATTGATTAATCATATATATGTGTAGTTCAATGGATTAATATTTGGTTTGATTGTTATAATAGAGAATCTAAGGTTATATTCATACATATATGTAAGTAGTTCTGATCTTATTTCCCTTTTTAACCAAACGATGTATTATCATCTTTAATGTGCGAGTTTCTTATAAGTCATGATCTCTGTTGTTTATTTTGGTTTTTTTTCCGTAATAGTACATGCTTCATATACTAGAAACTTAAATCAAAAGAAAACCACATTTTTGCTAATATTTCTAATGATGAACAGATAATTAGATGGTATATAATAGAGGAAAAGAGATAGATATCCCCTAGACTATATGAGTCTGAATTTTTACTCTTTACTCTTGATTAATATCATTTTTAGTCAAATAAATATATTAGTCAAAAGGATATTAATTAAGAGTAAATGGTAAAACTCTGGACTTGTGCACTCTAAGGACAAGTATAGCAATTTTCTCTATATAATATTTTAGAGCCTTACTTCCTTTCTCCTTGCAAGAAAAAAAGAAAATAATTTGATGCAAAAGATAATGGTTTGTAAATCTAACAGAGAGTAGTAGATGTGTGCTTAATGGAAGTAATGTCACGCCTACTAATTGTACTGAAGGTAATATTGATTCCAATTATTAATTTCTGCTAGATTCAATTTAGATGGTTGGGATTTTACTCGCTAGAGCTATAAATAATTATATTCTCTCTCAATTTCCAAGTATCTCTGAAATTAGAGTTCATATGCCTTGGGTCTTTGATCTCGTATTTGATAATTATGATGACACACACACACACACACACACACACACACACACACATATATATATATATATATATATGTATATATCAGAAAGGTTTTGTAATTCGTTACCATAAATTTTAAATAATTGTTTTTTTTTTTGTTGGAAAATAAAATTGATAGTTTTAATCCTTAAAACTTCAAATTTTGGTAACTTATACTGATCATGTATTACGTACATAAACATAATCGCCAAAATAATAAACTAGTGAACATCGATGTCAACTAAACATTCTCATACCTTTTTTTCTTAAGGAAATGAGGCAATTTCATTTCCGAAAGTTTCCCTCAACTGCAAAAATTACAACTTTTTTCCCTAAACTCTCAATAGTATATAAAATATGTCAACATAATTTACGTCATTTCTTTCTTGAACATCAGATTAGATGCAAATTAGCATGCATGTGAAATATATTACATATATATATATATACAGGAAAAAAAATCTGTGTATAGTTTTCATAAAAAATCTGCGTTTTTGCCTAATACCCTTTTGTTTAATGACATGATCAGGGAGAGGGTTGGGAGGACTTTTTGATAGAGTTACTCCGATGGAGGACTTTTTGATAGGGTTAGTCCGATTTTCATCGGGTGAGTTGATTGGGTTTTTGACCCACTCACTTCGCCGATGTTCATCTCTAATGTTTACTATTGAGGTATTGCTTTCTCTAGTTTTCTAAACACTTCAAACTAGAGCTTATTGATTCTTACAAAAAATAATAAGAATAATGACAAAGTATGATATAACATAATCTTTTTGAAATATTTTAGAAATAAAAAAAATTAAATAGTAATTATAATAATACAATTCACTTTTTATACTATGAAATGACGTTGTAATTATTAATTCAATAAGTAATTAATAGTGTCCTGCCTGACAATTGATAATGATCTTAGAACCGTTTAGTAAGAATCAAGGGATGAAGGCAATCATAGATCATTGAAGTACTTATGACATGTATTTGATAGCAGACCCCACCGTCTACTTTTACAAGCTTCTTTTTTTTTTTGGTTAGAAATTAGAATACAAGAAGTCCAAAAATATATCCATCGAAAAGTTTCGAAAAAAAAAAAATCCATCGAAACAATTCCTCTCCCAGTGCGAGCCTCAGCCCTGTAACAATGACGGACCTAAAAATATATTTTGATGAGACAACTAAATTGCCATTTGTCATCCACATTTTCTTTACAACTTGAATGTTATATATTGCAAAACAAAACAAAAAATAAAAAGAATCTGTTTGGTATGAATAAAAAGTGGAAGAAAATAAAACATTGGATAGGATGGAAATTTATAAGTCGAGATATTTGGTAGGAAGAAATTAACTAATACAATTATATTGTTCCATAATATATAGTTTTTCTATCCTTTTGATTTCACTTTCAATATCAAATAAGAGATGGTAAATTCATTTTCTTTCCTTCATATCATATCAAATAACTCATGAGAAAACTAAAATCTTTTCTTTCCTCTATATCTTATAATTTCTAACCTTTATAGTTTTTCATTCTCTCTTATCTTCTTTCATTCTCTCTTATCTTCTTTCATTCTTACCCTTATAGTTTATTATTAACTAATGACAACTTTATATTCATAACAAAACTTTTTTGTAATTAAATGATAATCCCAACTTTACCATAATTTTCTACTAATAATACTTTTTTTAATTGTCAGCATTATGTATATATTGGTGAACTTTTTGTGACTACAGGCTTTTTTTAGGATGAGCACTGGGAGTACTTATTCTCACCAAAATAAAACTATTAATTGTCTACTATTAAAACGTTTTTTAAACTTTTTCTTTTCATTGGTTTATGACGGGAGTACGTGGTTAGAAAATAATTGTGTTTACCAATAAACTTTCTCACTTTATCATAATGATTAAGTTGTGACGACTACTACTTTTTCTAGTAGAAATATTTTATAGTATATTTCACTTCACTTATTCCTAATTTTAACATTGAAACTTTAATTATTAAATCAGCTCATGAAATGTTCACACATTAATCTTATTAATATGGTATATTCAACATCTTGAAAAAACATACTATCAGTAATATATATCCCTATGAAAAATTCTTCTGATCAGTTTTCCTTCATCATTTGTTTTGATCCTAAATGACTTAGCACTTACATTCCAATACTATATGTTAATTAGGATCAAATTGAGTTTTGTTTTTCTTTTTTGGGGGGTACAAGGCAGGATAAAACTGAGTTAATGGCCCAAACAAGTTGAAAACACTTGTACGTGCACCAAAGTTCTGGTCAGTTCAAGTATGACGGCAAGAAAAACATGTTTTGGTAAAAAATTAATTTAGTAAAAGTTTAAGAAAATTGTCATTTTTAAGAAGAATCACGTGTTTTGGTGATAGTGTCACAATCAGTGTTGCAACACCACTTGTGATATCGGAATAAAAACATACCTTTCATTAGTAAACAGTTCTAAGATCATTATCAATTGTCAGGCAGGACACTATTAATTACTTATTAAATTAATAATTACAACGTAATTTCATAGTATAAAAAGTGAATTTTATTATTATAATTACTATTTAATTTTTGTTATTTCTAAAATATTTCCAAAAGATTATATATGTTATATCATAATTTGTCTTTTTTTTTTTACAAGAATCAATAAGCTCCAGTTTGAAGTGTTTAGAAAACTAGAGAAAGTAATACCTCAATAGAAAACATTAGAGATGAACATCGACGAATTGAGTGGGTTTTTGAGATCTTACAACCCAATCAACTCACCCTATCAAAAAGTCCTCCCCGACCCCCTCCCTCATGTCATTAGACAAAAGGGTATTAGGCAAAAACGCTCAAACACTTAATTTAGAAAATTGCTACGTTATTTATGGCTTTAGGAAAAACGACTAGAAAAAAAAAATGTTTAGGTGGATAATATATATATATATATATATATATATGTTGACTTAATTTATACTTATGAAGGCAGAAGTAGTTAAAAGGAGTGCCCATAAAGAATCAATATGTTGGAAAGAAAGGTAGCTAGGTCTATAATTGTCTAACAAAAATGGGTGGTCAAATTGATGGGCTACGACTACGAGATTACTTATAAGCCAGGCTGTGAGAACTCCGCCGTCAATGCGCTCTCTCGCAAACCCGGCAGCTCAACCCTTAACCAATTGTTTGTGCCGCAGGTAGATTTATGGGAAGACATTAAAAAGGCTTCGGAAAAAGATGCATATGTCACTTGAATAGGCCAAATAGCCAAAGACAAGCCCGAAGGCCCATACAAATGGCGCAATGGCCTGGTCCTTTACAAGAATCGGGTAGTGGTACCACAAGAGCCCCTCATCTGCAATAAATTATTGGAAGAATTCCACAGTAGCAAACCAGCGGGCCACTCTGGAGTACTAAGGACTTACAAGCGCCTAGCCCAAAAATTTTATTGGCCCCAGATGTTCAAGGCTGTCTACACCTTCGTCACAGGATGCGCCATTTTCCAAAAAATCAAGACACAAGGCCTTGCCACCGCAGGTCTTCTCCAGCCTCTTAGACTACATAAGTATGGATTTTTACTTTTTATTTTTAATTAATATCATTTTTAGTCAAATAAATATATTAGTTAAAAGGATATTAATTAAGAATAAATAGTAAAACTCTGGACTCGTACACTCTAAGGATAAGTATAACAATTTTCTCTATATAATATTTTAGAGCCTTACTTCCTTTCTCCTTGCAAGAAAAAAAGAAAATAATTTGATGCAAAA